CCCCCCGATATTGAACCTATTTCCTTACCCGGTTGAACTGTTTCTGTTGAAAACGAATTCGCCAGGTCAGCTGTGGGTCAGTTTCAAGTCTCAGGTCGGTCCATTTATCTGTTTGTGTCTCCTGATTACGATGGTACATTGCAAGGTCAGTAGGGGCTCGGAGTAAGTCTTCAAGTCCCGTAGGGTGAGCTGCGGGGGCAGCAGGTTGTAGGGGGCGTAGATCCGGAGTCCAGTTCCCGGCTGCGGAGCCTTCCTTGAAAGCGGTCTCAGTCCGCCGGAATCCACCGGGTGATGTCGAGGACCCCGGGGTGTCACGCCGGGCGCCTCCCTTCCTGCGCCCTCGCGGCACCGCCTGTCCGCACGCGACCGCCTCGCGAAGGCGCGTCACCAGGGGGGCTCTGAGGGGCGACCGGGCCGGGCCGGGGCGACTCGCGCCGGGACTGGTGGGCCAGGTAGGGCCCTGGCGGCCCTCGGGGCGTCTCCTGCGGCCTCTTGTGTTGGAGACGGCGGGGACGGACCGTCCTTATGAAAGGGCTCCGGGGAGGACGGGTGACCTCCCTGAAGGCTCAAGGCCTTTCACGGCTCAGGGGGACAGGACTTCCGTGGCAAGGCGGTAGAAGAGGAAACTCTTGCGTACTCCCTGGTGGTCTAGTGGCTAGGATTCGGCGCTTTCACCGCCGCGGCCCGGGTTCGATTCCCGGTCAGGGAATCGCTTTTTGGCCAGGCATCTTCCTTTCTAGCCCTGCGGCTGTGCGCCGGCGGTGTGCTCCCCCCACCGCACCGACTGAATTCCTCTCCCGCGGCCGGGGGGAAACGATGGCTGGCCCTTTGGCAGGGCGCGCCGGGCTTGCTTGTGTCCAGGTCCGCCGCCCGCAGAAGTGACTGCAGAGGGCCACTAAGCAGCTGAGTCGTGTTTACGTCTACGCGGCGGAGGTCTAAATCCCCGTGGGGCCGCCCCAGAGGCGCCCATCAGGCTGAGCTCTGGATCCCAGCTCTGGAGGCCAGGCCACGTCGCGGTGTTCGTGTGTACCCCGGACGCGAGCCGGTAGGCCCAGTTCCTCAGCTCAGTTCGCGCGGAGAAAGCGTACTACGCGTTCGGACCGGATACCCGCGAGGGCTGAAGGGAGCGGGTCCTCCCCGAAGGCTGTCTCATTCGCAGATTAAGCGGCGTAGGGAGGTGATGTTAGCTGAGCCAACAAAAGGCAGCGAGTGAGGGGTGCACTAAACGGAAAACTTACTGCTTCCGTAAGCCGAAGGTAGGGGTAGAAATCCACACCCTGGATCCCAAAACGATGATACCCCAAGTCATATCCCCCAGTTTCTCCCAAGGACTGTTGCATTTAGACCCTGTAGACTCTACCAGGCTCTGGGCCCGTTTTCTTTTTTCCCTTCGACCCTGGCTCTGAAGACCTGTTGAGGTAAATGTGACGTCCAGGGTAAGGCCGGAAGAGAGAGAGCCAGGGCCGGGGGAGGTGCTGTGGACCCAGGCTGCAGAGGCGGCAGGTGCGGGGTGGAGACCAGGCCGCGCAGGGGATGCGGGGCGGTGAGTGTGGGGCCGCTGCCGAAGGCGGATGGCCCCAGGGGCCAACTCGTGGATTCTCGTGGGGCAGGTATGCGAGGGGAGAGGGGCGAGTTTGGAAGAATGGGGTGGGTGGAGGAGAAGGTGGTGACCCTGAGTGTACCAGGGAGGAATGGAAGGCTGTAGGGGTCGGTGGAGGTCCGCTAGAGGCAAAGATACTATTTTCTTGACGGTGGGGTTTTGACTGCATTTTCCGTCCGTTACTTGCTGGGTGCTTTTGTTCTGGCGGTGGATTCCGCCCCCCCCCCCTTTTTTGTTTGTTTGTTTGTTTGTTTGTTTGTTTTGCTTCTTTCTCCTCTCCTCTCCTCGCCCCCAAGACTGTCTTTTCTTCACTCTTGTTCTCGCTGAGACCCTAGGCGTGTGCACAGTGTGGCACCCTGAGGCTGCTAAGAGACCCTTCGGTGGAGGAAGCATGGTTGCACAACACCGCCTGGTTCCAGCAGGCCGCGCCGGAACCTTCTGTGGTGTGTCACTCCAAGAAATCCAGGAATTCTAAATTCATCCCTGCTATCTGGGTAATAATGAAGGTAGAGTTTTCCAAAGTAAGAGAAGAATACCATCTATTTCATTTCTGATTACAAGGTCTTTTTGTGTGTGGGTTTTGGGTTTCTTTTTTTCTTTCGTGTGTGTGTGTGTGTGTGTGTGTGTGTGTGTGTTCGTATGTTTGTTTTTCGTTGATTAATCCTGATCGGTACCTTTAAAAAAAGAGCCTAAAGGTAGATAGCAAGCTTGCCACTGACGTTTGCAGGTGTTCATGCAAAAAGTAAAACAGAGGCATCAAAGCTCCTCCCGCTCCTGGGTGGACCTTGAGCGCTAGGAACACAGAAAAATGGATATTGTCAGTCCCAGGCTCCCTTGACAAGGCGTATAGGAGGTCCTCACTACATTAAGGTGGGACCCTAAGGTCCAAAGCCCTGGCTGGTAAGGGTGATCCCATCTAGTCCTGCCCCTTCTACTCCCAGGGCTCTTTGGACAAGGCGGCCTTGGCACTCCAAACAGAATAAGGAAAAGCAAAGCTTTTAAGAGGCCCTTGACAATAAACAAAATGAGTAGGCGGGCGGCACGGGCAAGTAGGCCCTGGCTGGCTCACCGGGTAGAGCAGCCACTCTTGATCCTCAGGCTTGTAAGTCCCAGCCCCACGTTGGACGTAGAGATAACTTGAAGATAAAATCTTTAAAAGAAAGTAAATAAAAAGCCCCTGAAGAAATTGTGGCGGCGGGCTTGACCTCTAGTGGATTTAGCCTTGAGTACACATAGCCCGGGTAGTCTGGGAGACCGTGGGCCATCAACTGGGTGGGTATGTTTCCCAGTCAGTAACAAACCCCAACCAAGAGCTTGCCAGAGGAGAGCATAGTCAAAGGAGAACATACTCATCCAGTAACACGTCATCCAGGTACCCTCCAATAGCATCTCAAGAGAATCAACTCGCATCTAGAATTCAGTTATAAGACAGAAGGACGAAAGCTCAGATATCTGGAATTTTAGAGATGCTTCCATCCATCCTTGTCTCAGGGCAGACATGAAGATGGAAATTAGGACATAATTCTGACAGAAACAAAACTGAAAAGACTGCAGCTACTGCACGAGGTGTGGTGAAGCCAGTCTTCAGAGGACCATACACACCTTTTAAATGTAAATCATGACAATTGGGGCTAATTCCTAATGAGCTAAGCCTCCATCTCAAAGAGTTACCAAAAAAATTTAAAAAAAAAATAACAAGAACAACAAAAGCATATGGGACCAGAAATTAAACATAAAAGCAAGAATTTGAAAATTAGAAAAGACATGAAAATAAAAAAGAAAATGAGAAGTAAATATACAAAAGCAAAAAGTCAATGGTTGGCTCTTAGAAAAGACTGCTCTGATAAAACTGGGAAGAGGGAAGATGGAAGTCACTGCTACTCAATGGGTAGACACGAGGTTAACAATAAATGAGTATCATAAACATGCATATGCCAACCCATTAAAATTTTGTCTTAGAGGAAATGTAGGTATATTGCAATAATGATTTGGGCAGGGTGGAGAGGAGGACTGGTCCTACAAGCATTAATTTTTTTTTTTAATTGGAATTCAGAAGTCTTCCTGCAAAAAAAGCCCAAGGACCAAAAAAAGTCATTAGAAGAAATGACTCCAAAAGCAAAGAAATTCTACAAGCATCAAAAGATGGCAGAATTCCCCAACTTAGGTTTATGAGTTTGGGTGGAAACCAAAAACCCCAAAAAAGGCAATGGGAAAAACAGAAATTACAGGCCTCGCTTACTGTTGAGTATACACAGCTGCGGGGAAAAAAAAAAAAAAACTGAATCAAACAAAATATATATTAAAAATGTGTCATGACAAAATTGGTCTTACACTGGGGAAGCAGTTGATTATCATTAGAAAATAAATGAATTCGTCACACTAACAACTTATATAGGAGGAAAATGGGAATCACCAAAGCCGAGAAAAGGTGTTTGAAAAAATTCGTTATCAGTTTATGATTTTTCAGAACCTCTTAGCCTAACAGGAAGAGAACAGCTCTCATCTGCTGAAGGGTAGCTTCCAGACCAAAAAACAGACAAACAAAACGCCTTCAACACATGTTATAGTTGATGATAGAATACTGACCTTTTCCCCCCTACCCTTACAAGTCAGAACTGTCAGGAAGCAGACAAAGAGGCCCGCTGCCATCACTTCTCTTCACCACTGTGATGGAGATCTTAGCCAGTGAGAAAAGGCAAGAAGAAGTAGAAGTGAAAATGAAAAAAAGAATACTACAATTATTTATATATACAAAATAAATTACTGGAACTATTAAGAGAATCGAGTTTCTTTGGTATATACACAAATAGAGAATGCAGGCTATGTTGAAGATTCAAAATCCAAAAGCGTTAAAAACATTATAAATGTTCAATGATTATAGCATATAAGAATTCAATCCCATGTACTGGGTGGGGGGGTGGACCGGAGGAGGGGAGAAGAGGGATGAAATATGATCCCTACCCCCACCATAACCAGAATAACTTCCATGTAGATTAGGCACCAAAATGTGAAAGGAAACCACGAATGATTTTAGTTGGTATTAATGTATCGGGGTAGTCCCATGATCTCAAGGTTAGTAAGCAAGGATTGAAAACACAAGACAAACAGACCAATTTTTAGTGAAGAGGCTGACTAAGTCACCTGGTTCAAGAATCTCTGTTTATCGCAGCACAGAATCAAGGGTAAGAAGTCAAGGCACAATTGGGGCGAATGTATCTGCAGTCAGCATAGTCAAGTGGTATCAAAGATACTTAATGAGTTCTTGCAAAAGGAGAAGAAAAAGACCTATAGGAAAAATCACCAAAGTTGGGGGAAAAAACACAGGAGAAAATTCAAGTGGCTAACCAACATGGACCGGTGCTCCAATTCATGACCAAGAAGGGCCTTCAAAACGGAACCCTGATGAGAGAATATTACAGATAGGCAAAATAACAACAGCACCACTAATAATTAAGTGGGAGTAGGGGGTGAGGTAGAAGGTTATGACCCGGTAAAGCATGGGAGTGGCTGATTAAAGGGCTAATAATATTTTACTTCTTCATCTGTGTGTAGGTTACACAGGTGTGTTCTGTGCATTTTACCTTATGTATGTTACAATTTTTCAATCCCCCACCCTCAATCTTCCCCACTCCCCCCACCTTCCTCCCACCCTCTCCACAAAACTCTTGAGGTTGAATCAACCACGTTTGTTTTTAAAATTTTTTAAAGATTTTATCTGTGTATTAGAGCGCGCGCGCGCCTGTGAGCATGAGCTGCGGGGAGGGGCAGAAGGAAAGGGAGAAGCGGACTCCCCGCTGAACAGGGAGCCCAGCCCGGGGCTCCATTCCAGGATCCCAGATCAGGACAGGAGCGGAAGGCAGAGGCTTTAACCGACTGAGCCACCCAGGCGCCCCTAAATCAAGTTTGTTGTGGTGGTGGTGGTGGTGGTGGTGGTGGTGGTGGTGGTGGTTTAGTGTATTTTTTAAAGCGGAAAGGAGGGGGAACCTCCCTCAATGTCACTAATCTTCGCTTTTAAGCTGCTATTAGGTAGACAAATCCTCCAAAGATTTTCGGAGGAAAATTAGTCACCCGTAGCGTCTAACGCAGTCACGCCCCTACTACCGTCCTACCCTCTAATCGGAATCCTTTCCAAGGAGCGCCCAAGAGCTAGAGAACAAACCCGGGTCCACGGTTCCCGGAGTCTTTAGTTCCTCTTCCTTTCACAAGTATACTCTTCGTCTTCGGGCCCACACCTGTTGAGGCGCATCGCCGGTCACGCGGCGTCCTTCCCCGGAACCGCGATGGGCCGGCGGTAGGAGCGCGGACCGCGGCGACCGGCCGCGCGAACCGACTCGGTTGAGGGTGTGCGGTGCGGCGGCGCGAGCGAGGGGCCTCTCGCCGCAGCTCCCCTGGCGTCCACCAGCCTGCGCCTTCCTCCGGCCGCCGACGCCGCCCCGGCCACTGGGTGTCTGCCGGGCCCCGCGGCGGCTCCCCTCCGGCGACCTTCCCGTGGCTGCCCTCGCTCTAGGGTGAGACGTGGCCCAGCGGCCGACCTCAGGTCCAGCACGGGCCTCAGTGACCTGGTGGCCCTTTGGGTTCCGTGGGTCCTGCAGGGGAAAGGCTGTGGCCTTAAGTCCAACCAGTCTAAACTGCAGACCCCGAGGAGACACTTGGGGGTGGACAGGTGAGAACTCGCGAGCGAGGTGGTTGCCGCGCTGCACGCCAAAGGCTGCTCCGCTCAGGCCCGGCCCCAGTGTAGATCGGCTCCTTCGTGCTTTCTGCTCGGAAATGGCCCGCGGATTCGGGGTCTCATTTTCCTGCTCCTGGCCGCCAGAATCAGGAAACCACAGGACCTGGCCTGTGCCACCGGGAAAGCGAGGAGGAGGGACCTCGTGAGCGTCTGAGGTCTGCAGGGGAGGGGAGGGGAGGGGGAGAAAGGCACAGGAGGTCGCGGATGGGAAAAAGAGGAACGACGCAGGATGCATTGGCCGGGAATCGAACCCGGGTCTCCCGCGTGGGAGGCGAGAATTCTACCATTGAACCACCAATGCCTCACGCATGCTTTGGTGCATGGTGGGTCTCTAGAAAGAAGTTCTTGAGTGACCGTGGGAAGGGCCACCGGGGGAGCGGAAACGCTCCAGAAGACGTTTACACGGTTGTCTTTGGAGGACAGACCTAGCAAACCCACAGGCACTCGAAGCAAAGGCTTGGGAAAGAGGTTTCCATCAGGCAACAGCGTCAAGTGGGGACATTCGAACAAGAGAGCAAAATATACTGTTTCGTCCGCTCACACCACAACTTTCTCAGAGTTGTGGTGTGAGCAAACTGTACAACAGACTCCGGCAGGAAAACGTGGGAAATTCATCCAGACCCCTTGATCAACC